AGGTGGGCCCCAAGAGGTGCTGCACCCCTGCTCCACCCACCCCAGAAATACTCCGCTGCCCGCCATGCACACGCGAGCTGGGCCACGCTCTGGCATATTCTGAAGACACAGGAATGCCCCTGAGGAGCCAAGTGTGAGAGCAAGGTGGGGGCGGTAGAATGGCAGACACTGGCACAGCCGATTCGAGAGGGCTTCCCTTCAAGTCACAGCTAGAGAACCAGGGAGACAGATGGAATGGAGCCAAGTCCAGAGAAAGTTCAAGATCAGAGTGTTGAAAGTCCGCCCTGGCATGGCTACATGAAAACCAAGAGAGTGGATGTTTGCAAAGGTCGTTTCTGCCTGTGGTACCACAACCAGGGGCCAGAGATGAAAGGTCAAGCAGTGGAGCTGCATAGAGAACGTAGGCACCGTAGTGCAGAGCTGCTGTTCAGAGCCACCGTGAGTCTAGTCAACACCACGGCACTTAACAACAAGCCACTGCTGACCTCAGAGCTTGTGTGGGTTTGGAGGCAGACCACCGGGAAGAGGCAGCACATGAACTGCTGCTTGGTCAGTGTGTGGAGCAGTTACTGACCCTCCACAGTGGTTCCAGCTTGCTGGAAAGGTTTGCAGAAGCTTGAGAAAGACCAGAATGGGACTAGAGACATGCAGTGGACACACGCTGCTGGGAAGGTGGCCCCCAGGCCTGCTGGGGACAGGTGGACACTCAAAACTACGGCTCACAATGATGCAAAGTGCAGTGAACTGAGGGCTGCCTGAACCCAAACGATGAACGGGAGAACTTCAGGAAAGAAAACAGAGTGATCTGTCCTTCCACCAATGCATGTCTGCGGACCAACACCGCTAACACAGGGAAGCAACAGACACCTGCGGGCCACAGGTGAGGAATTACAACTCCATGAACATAAGGACATGCAAACCTGAGCACATGAGTGCAGAGACATACACACACGTTCTCGCCCACACCAAGCAGGTGTGCTCTCCACACTCTCTTATCAGCTCTCACCATATTCACAGTCAGAAAGTGGATGCTGCCTACACAGCTAGACATGGCCAGCCTCAGTATCTTCACGTGCTCTGACCACCTGAAGCCCCCAGGAGCACAGAAGAGTCCTGGTGTTACAGTGGGTAAGAGTACAGATGGTAATTAAACAGTCAGTGGTTCAAACCTATGTTTTTATATGTAGATACATTGTTAAATATGTGGATATGTTTAAAATATGTGGATATGTTGTTAAATATGTGGATATGTTGTATAAGTGGATATGTTATTATACATGTGATAGGTTTTAAATATGTGGATATGTTTTTATATATATGGATATGTTGTTATATATGTGGATATATTGTTGTATATGTGAATGTTATTATATATGTGGATATGTTTTAAATATGTGGATATGTTATATATATAGATATGTTATTATGTATGTGGATATGTTGTTGTATATGTGGGTATGTTGTTATATATGTGGATATGTTGTTGTATATGTGGATATGTTGTTCTGTATGTGGCTATGTTATTATATCTATGGATATGTTGTCATATGTATGCATATGTGGATGTGCTGTTACATATGATAAATTGTGCTATATTTGTGGATATTGGAAGCAGGGATGGCATCCACTTCCTAAACAATATGCCTCCAGAAACTCTATAAACTTTGATAAATGATGATAATTATAGAAAGGCTTCAGGCCTTTTGTTTACAGGGTCACTATGAGTTGTGCTCTACTCAATGGCAATCAACAACAATGACATATGTGGATATGTTGTTGTATATGTGAATATGTTGTTGTATATGTGGATATGTTATATGTGGCTATGTTGTTTTATATGTGGATATGTTGTATATGTGAATATGTTGTTATATATGTGTATGTTATATGTGGATATGTTATTGAATATGTGGATATATTGTTAAATATATGTGGGTAGGTTATTGTATATGTGAATATGTTGTTATATATGTGGATTTGTTGTTATATATGTGGATATGTTGTTGTACATGTGGATATGTTGTTGTATATGTGGATATGTTGTTCTATATGTGGATATGTTGTTCTATGTGGATATGTTGTTATATATGTGGGTATGTTGTTATATGTGGATATGTTGTTGTATATGTGGATATGTTGTTATATATGTGGGTATGTTGTTATATATGTGAGTATGTTGTTATATATGTGAGTATGTTGTTATATGTGGATATGTTGTTGTATATGTGGATATGTTGTATATATGGATATGTTGTTATATATGTGGACATGTTGTTTCATATGTGGGATGTTGTTATATATGTGGATATGTTGTTGTATATGTGGATATGTCGTTATATATGTGGATATGTTGTTATATACGTGGATGCGTTGTTGTATATGTGGGTATGTTGTTGTATATGTGGATACGTTGTTGTATATGTGGGTATGTTGTTGTATATATGGATACGTTGTTGTATATGTGGGTATGTTGTTGTATATGTGGATATGTTGTTGTATTTGTTATATATGTGGATACATTGTTGTATATGTGGATATGTTGTTGTATACATGATATGTTGTTGTAAAAGTGGATATGTTGTTATATACGTGGATATGTTGTTATATGTGGATATGCTGTTATATATGTGAGTATGTTGTTGTATATGTGAATATGTTGTCACGTATATGGATATGTTGTTGTGTGCTCCCAAAGCTGATTCCGACTCTCAGCGGCCCTGCATGTAGAGTGGGATGCCCTCCAGGGTCCCAGGGCTGCAAATTTCACAGAAGCAGGCTGTTATATTGTCTTTTCTAAAAATGACTGATAGGTTTGAACTGCTGACCTATGAATTAGTGACAGTATAAACCACTGCAACACCAGGACTGCTCTGTGCTAGCAGGGGCTTCAGGTAGACACACGTATGTATACGTGGACAAGGGTGCTCTGGTGGTCTGGTTGGAAAGATCCCCACTGCCAACCTGAAGACACAGGGTTAGATTCTACCAACTGCTCCTTGAGAGAAAGATGGACAATCTCTTCCCATGCGCTTAACAGTCTCTGAAAACCTGCTGAAGGGTCAGCTGTGAGCTGGTTCTGACTCTGGTACA